ACATTCCTCTATATATATGTACTGTGTAATGTTATACTTCGCATAGATGCCCTGAGCTCTCAATGTCAAGTAGGACCCGACTTGATGTACCTAAGATTACAGATGCCCAAAACCTAACTGATCGGCAAGAGACAGTTACCATAATACAGGTATAATTTCCAAAATTTATCATTCATGAGAATTGAACCTTAGATCTGCCACTTGAGAGTTGACAACCTATCTACTTTACTAGGTCACTACATCTTATATAGTTTTTTATAATGCAGATTAATTTTTAAATTTTATTATAAATAAAATTTGAACTTTAGACCTGCCACTTAGAAGATAACAATTTAACTACTACACTAGAATTACTATTCTCTAGCAAGTTTCTTTTTTAAATTCTTTTTTTGAATTATTTATAGGTTTTAGAAGAATCAAATTTTATAGATACAGAACTATTATTTTGTTGCTTATGTGATGAAATAGAGTAGGCTTGAAGTATTTTTCTTGACTTTTAGAAGGTTTTTCTAATCTAGTATTATATCTTATTCCATATTTAACAGCAGCTATTAAGGTTTCAGATGCTTTATATGCAACTTTCATTCTTGTTGCAGATTTTAATTTATTGGTATAATAAGATACTTGGTTCAAGACATCTATATCAGTAATTTGACCTACAATATTTTAAAATTGTATAGTATAATTTCTTATATTCTAGTTTGTTTAAGTTTTTTAAACTGTTAACAGAAATATTATTAATAGTTAGAAGGTTGGAAAGCATTTTTAATTGCATTTTCAAACTTATTCCAATTATTAAAATGAGGTTGGTTGTTATTTGAAACAACTCTATTCAAATACTAATATAAGATAACATTTTTAAGACCTGTAGTAGTATAGTGAACCTGAGTTTGTTTATCTATAAGTTCTTGAACTAAAAAAATTATTTGTATTTGTAATAACTAAGCTATTATATTTTTAGTAGATTCTTCTTTGAATATAGAAATTTTTATATTAATTTTTGTAGATGCAAAATTATTTTTATCTTATTGTTATACTTTAAGTTGTTGTTAAACTTGGGTTTGACCAAATTTTTAAAGTAGTTTATATAATAACAAGTTATTTGATAGCATTTATTAAGTCTTGTAAAATAGTTATTTTTTTAAAAAAATTATAAGAAAAAAACTAATAAAATATAAATAATACAAGTGTAAAACAAAATAAAAAACAGTATTGTATAAAAAAAAAATATGTATAGTGTAATTTTGCTAATAAAAATACTTAAATTTTATTAAAAAAATCTTATTAGGTTTAAATAATTTTTAAAAATACATAAATTTAATAATAAAAGTATATTAAAAATAAAAACTTTTTTTTTTTTTTAAGATGAGGTCATGCTCTTAAGTCTTTATTAGTATATTGGTTATAGCTAGTACAATTTTTATTATACATCATCTATCACTATATATCTATTCAGACATAGGACTCAGACATCTTTATCTGTAACCTAAATCTACCAGAGCTTTGTATTGTATCTCACTTACATCTAACCTGAATTTTTGTTTTACTACTGATTATATTAGGTAACCTGCATATTTCCTTCATGTCTCACAACTTATTTTTTATAACTTCCAAATTGGTCTACCAGGTCATTTGCTCCTTTTGAGCTTTTATCTTTGGTTTACCCAAAGGGTATCTCTCTAGCATGTATCTTAAACCAGATTCCTACTGCTGCTGCTATTTTCTCAATTCAGATACTGGTAGCATATATCTCAAGCCAGGTTCCTGCTACTACTGCTGGTTTGCAACCCTTCTGGGTTTTAGTATTGTTCAAATGGATTATGCATTTAACCTGCCTCTTAAGTATTTTCTTTTATAATATAGTAAAACTATGTTTTAGAAATAGTACTTTCTTTTCTTCTAGTTATTGGCTAATGTTTTCTTTCTATTTAAACACATGAGGACTTATCTTGTGTTTGCACCACCCAAAGCTGGTTTGCATCTCTATGTGTGCACTAACTTACATAGATATCTGTATAAATCTGTACTTTATAGGTACAGAAAATTGATCAGTGATGTAATCTTTCTGCAGCATCTACTGTCGTAACTCAGGACATGACCGATACGTCAAAAAGCTACAACTGACGTTTGTCATAATGTTAGATATATGCTGTAATATTGGTTTATGTCGTAACTTCAGATGTGTGCCATAATATTCGACGATATTAATTATTGTCATAGAGAAAATTCGATATGAAGACTAATTAAAAAGCATCAAAACCAGTCTGTTTAAAATTCTTCTGAAATAGGCCTTTGATATAATGAATCATTAATATTTTTACTAATGAAATGGGTCACTTCACTAAAATGAGAGTGACTTGTAAATAGTTCTTTATTATATAATGCATTAATATTATATAATGCAAATTCTCAAACAAAAAAAAACTTTTCATTCAGAATGTACATTATAAAATAAAATATTGTTATTCAGTAAATCAGCAAGTCTGTCTTCCAATTCTCGTGTAACCAATGGAGACTGAGTCGAAAGCAGCATGTTAGATTTGGCTGATGGGTTTATCCGTAGATAAGTACTAGTCTTCTCTCCTAAGTCCTTCTTTAACCAATTCTTCTATTAACTCTTGCCTTCTCTTGTCTTCTCTTATATGACTTAACCTGGACTTAAGATATGTTGAATCAGGATTGGAGTTCTTTTCTTGCATTAACGACTTGGTCACGTGACTTATGGCGAATGATCAAAATATAGTTTAGTGGTTACAAATGAATGATAGTTGATAACGATGGGTTTAACGATAGTTTATTAGTTTGGTTTGAGTTATAGTTTTATTTTGTTATGGGTCAGATACTTAGTTTTATGTAATTAAAATTTTGAATTTTTACAATACAAATTTGTCTGCTTTATTATATTAAATATAGTAATTATTTAAGTTATAATTCACTACTTAAAACCATATCAACAAGTTCCTCAGGATTAAAGTTTGTATCAATGTTATCTTCAATATTGGAGTCTGCAATTTCAGTAAAAAATTCAAACTGTGTGATTTCTCTATCTTGAAAGATGGGATCCCGCAAATTTACAAAATCTTCTAAAATTATATTAGTTTGAGATAATAAATTTGGGATTTCTTCATATGCGTCTTCATTATTTTCACTTAATTCCTTCTCATTTGTAATATAATCATCGATTGTTGCAATTTTAATCATTTCACGTAGTTCAGATTCAGTTAACTCAGTATCAAAGTAAGTAAGTTTATTTCGTATATTCGCCATATGATAAAACCTAATTTTTGCCATTCCTTCAAGTTTTTCAATTCCAAGACAAGTTTGTTTATCTCCAATAAACCATTTAAGAGTTGAAAAGTTTCTTTCGCAATTAGCTTGGGAAGGTGAAATGCTGAAAAGTCTTTGTGCAAGCTTAGAAAGATGATTAGGTCAACTTTTTATAGATCCCCACCACAGCATAGGTGTATCAAACCCTTGAATATAAGATAAGTCAAATGGTTTTTTGTTAGAATCATAGTATCGAAATTGAGAAATTAGTTCTTTACACTCTTGGGCTGAATGTCCTAGATCCTTTCATAATGTTGATGCAGCTATAGCGGCATTGCAAAATGCCTCATTTTGAAGTCCCAACCCTAAGTTAAAAAAAAATTTAATAATATAAAAATTAAATTATGTTGTGTAATATTTTAATACATATATCATGATAAAACGGATGAAGATAATAACTCAAAATATATAAAGGGTGTTGGAATTCTGAGTAACGTCGATTAAAGATTTGAACAGTGGCAGGTTTAAACGAGTTTGATTCAGGAATTTGGTAGATTGTAGCAGCTAACTTTATCATATTTATATAGCAATCGGCCAAATTTGCTAAACCTGCTTCTAAAACATTAATACAGGTTTTTATTGGCTTCCATATAAATCGAATTTGTCGACATTTAATAAAAAAATCTTCTTCACTTAATAAGTTAAAAACTTCCGCATTTGTAATAACACGTGGGTGTTCAAGAATTATCTATGTAATACAAAGTAATGTTATGTACTTATACAATATATGCATATATTAATATAAATTGTATAATAAAAAAAATTACCCAGTCAAACACAGGTCATGCGAGCAATATTGAATTTGTAGTGTCATATAATGATCCCCAGCGAGTTTGACACCATGTTTCTAAACCTTCAAATCGTATTTTCATACTTGATAACCCTTGGCGTAATAATGCCAGTTTTTGAGGTGATTTTGTAAAGTGCTTTATGACTTTTCCACATTGATCAATAAACATTTTTATTTCACGAATTTTTGATAAATCTGTTGCTATCAGATTAATGGCGTGTGCAATACACCTAATATTTACTATATGCGGATATTTGGTCTGAATTTTTTCTCTGGCAGACTTGAGATTTGCTGCTGAATCAGTAATGATAGCAGCAAACTTTTGAGGTCCAATACGTTCAATTATATCTACAATTTCTGAAGCAATAAAATTGCTTGTATATGATTCTGATGAATAATTGCACAAAGAAATAAGATATTCCTTTCGCTCTATAGTCATTATGATGTAATTGTACAGTGATTCTCCACGTTTTGAAGTCCACCCATCAAGCACTAAAACAAATAAAAAAATTTTCAAAAAAAATTTTTTTGAAAAATTTTTAAATATAATTATGTATACTTAGTGTCAAACATTCTGCATTCTCCAACTCGTCATTGATATTATTTTCTATACGTGCAAATTCTTCATCAAGTAATCGTCCAGATAATGTTGTATGAGATGGCAACACATATGTGGGATTAAGACTTTTAAAGAGATTCTTAATATACGGATTCTCAATAACTTCGAATGGAATATTAGTCATAATCCAAGGTCTTAAAAGAATTTCATCATAATTCTTGCTAACTTGTAGTGGTAGTTGAGAATCTCTTTTATTAGCATTATTATTGCTTATAAGTTTATTACGCCAATAAGATCGAATATCCTCAGGAACATTCAAACAATGAAGTGCAAGATGAGACCTTAAAATGCAAGGTTTACCCCTCTGCCAAACATTTCTACAATGATAACATTCTGCTTTATAGTGCTCTGGATTTACTTTCTCGCACCTGATAACATAGTCCCATACTTTGTCAAAAACAGGTCCACCCTGTCTGTTTCGTTTTTGAGATTGATCATTGTTATTTTCAGATTCTAACGGTGAAGTAACATCACGATCATTGCAAGATTCTAATGGTGTAGAATTGCTAGAATCTATTTTATTAATCAAAGGCATGTTAGAAAAAAATGGCAGTTTCGATTTTTGCATGATTTATTTATTTTCAAGAGAGTTAAATCAATTTATTTATTTTTTGATTTTTGCATGATTTATTTATTTTCAAGAGAGCTAAATCAATTTATTTATGTTTCAAGTTAAATTACGTTTATCAATTTATTTTATTTTTCAAGCTAAATTACATATTCACGAAAGTTAAAATTATGTATTCATGAAATTTAAATTACGTATATCACAGCCTATATCACGTCTAATACTATAGTTATGATCAAAAGCTTAGTTGCGACAAATGTCGACTATTACGACAAATGCTGTTTCGACACTTTTGACGTATCCGCTCATCTTTTTGACGTGATGATACGTCAGCAATTTTCTGCACCTATACTGTACTTCTACAGATGCCCTGTGCTTGTTTGCAAAGGTTACTTCCAATTTAAGTATCTCAACTTTGATTGGTACAGCATTTATGTTGGTGTGTTCCACTTGCTTCACCATAGGCTTCTATATAGATGTGATCAGAGCTCTGGTTTGGTACCTTTAGATGTACAGAACAGGCTACAACTTCTTTATACATACAGCTATCTTTTATTTTTAGTCATTCTACAGCATCAGAGGTGCTTCCAATCTTGATAAGACTAATCCTTTGTCACAGACCTTTTATGCATGCACCACTTTTCTCACCACTCCAGTGTGTATTACCTTGGTATCATCCTTTCAATCAATTACTTCTCAAGTTGAATATGAAGATGTTGGTACTGCCCTGTCTCCAGAGGACTTATATGCACATTACTTTGTATAACAGAACCTTCTGTGATGCCACTATCACTCATAGTGCCTGCACTCTGCAAAGTTGGTCTCCTTTCAGAAATTTCTTTTTTTATTATGTATTATACTTGAATTTAACCACAGGGCTTCATGTTCAATTACAGGCTCTTTATAGATTACAAAGACTAAAATCTTTTTGATTTTGCCTTCAGCTAGACTTGAACCATTGATCTTGACTATAGGAGTATAGAAGCTTAACAATTAAGCTATGGGACCCACACCCTTAAAATAGAAACTTAGTTTATTCATAAGGCTTACTAATCTATCTAAAAGATCTGACATATAATTAATAATAAATAAAAATAAAAATAAAAAATAAATATAAATTATTACAAATCAAAGTTGATTATTAATACATATATTAATTATATTATTAATAAGCAAAATTGCAGCATAGGGCAAAGAAAAAGAGTTATAATAATGCTTATTTATTTATGTTAGATTTGCTAAATCTTAATTATATTTGATAAACTGATAAACTAAATATAGTTAAATTAATTATAATAATTAGTATAGAATTAAGAAAAGACTTAGAAAATAATAAAAAAGAAAATTACAAAGAAATTATAGTATTGTTACAATTACTGCATATTAGATTGATAATAATTAGAATCTTTAAAAAATTTTAATTGATATTTGTATGCTTTTATACTTGCATACTGAAAAGAATATTAAAACATAATTACAAACTATTTTAAAGAGTGTTACTATTTTCACTTTTGTTAATGCCATCCTTCATGAGTTTTTGACTCTATCTGACCCTCTAGTAACCCTAATCAGATGAATATGTTACACAAATAAAGGTCACATGACCAAAATTTTTATAAACTGTACCTTTAAAGTCACACAAGTTATATTTGTATAACATATCATTTAGGGTTTGAAGATTAGCTAGATCATGTAATGGGTGGCATTAGCAAAAGTAAATGATAGAAATAGTATTCATTTTAAAAATTTATATTATATCTATGAAATTCTTTAGCATAACAATATACAATAGTTCTAGTTTTTATTCATATTATTATCTTACACATATCTTGCATCTTGTCATTACTATAAAACTAACACCAATTAAAGAATTAATTAATAAGTGCACAATTTTATTAATGCTATTTTGTTATCATCTATGATTACATAAGATTTTAAAGAAATTAAACAGTTTGTTATTGAAGGTGAAACTATTTATAAGATTTCTTAAGACATATCAAACCAGTAGAATAATATATACCAAATGCTTTCTATTTATATATTTATGCTTATAATAATTACAATAGTTATAAGTTATTATGATAATTTTGCTTAATACAAACTTATATAACAAGAAGATTTTAATTTTCATGCTGTAACTTTATTTTTAAAACCATTCTATGAAACTACAAATATACTTTTAGGTGATATTTATATAATGTTAGGTCTTTTTCTTTTATTAATAGATAATCTTATTGATGTAATTTTATTATGCATTTAGGACTTAACAAGCCCTATATTTCTTAAAGTTGCAGCAACTTATATGTTAAAAAAAATTAAAAAATATTTGGATCATATTATTGATAAGGCTATCTTTATTGTTTCTGTTTTTGATCTTCAAATTAAACTGAAATTAATATCAATTAACTTTAATACTTAAAAAAACCAGAACTTTTTTAATTACATTCTTCAAACTGAATATTCTATATTAGATAATCTATTTATTATTGAAAATATATTAAGTTCTATTATGTATATGAAATAAGTTGTTTAAAAACAATAATGATTTAATGGTTTAACAAATACAACAAATAAGTTTACACAATATTTAAATAAAGCTATATTATCTATAAATGCTAATCCTTTAGAATTGTGAAAACTTAACAATTACTATTTTCCTAATATGTCATAAATGGTTAAGAATTTTCTTATTATTTAGACAACTTCAGTGCCTTTTAAACAGATATTTTCAAAGACAGATAATATTGTTTAAGCAAGATATGTATGTCTTTCTAAAAAGAATATACAAACACTTATTTATACTGGTTTATAATTGAAACATGGTATTATATTTCATAAATAATTTTAAAAATTACATTATATAATATAGAAATGTTTTATGTTACAAAATTTATTAGCCATTAAAATTTGTTACATATTTAATATTTGCTTTATAATTTTTGTATAAATAAATATTTACTTTATAGTTATATAATAAATAAATCTATAAGATGTATTATTCTAGTGAAGTGATCAGGTTGTTAACCTTTCAAGTAGTAGATTGGGTATTCAAATCCTATCGACAGTGAAAATTTGAATAATTACTTATGTAATATTCATATTATAACAACTATTACTAACAATTAGATTAGGATACCTGTAATAGTAGTCATACTAGCATAACTGAAAGGTCATGAGACATTCATGTAACAGTTATGTGACATTGTCCTTTGGAACAAGGTCTGTAATTATATGAGGAATGCAGACTAGTAATTGGGTAGTATAAATGCTAGATAAGTTCTTATGATCATATAAATCCATTGAAATTGGTAACAAGAAGTTCATTTGGAAAGACCTAAGTAAAGAGATAGTTGGATCTTTGATGGCTGTACTGTAAAGGCTAATCTAAAGAAACAGATACCAAGGTCATAGTACCTAATTATAGTAACTGGATGGACAAGAACCTCTGGGTTGGGAATCTCAGAGGTACTACCAACCAGGCCATCAGAATAAACCAGAGAAAAAGGATATTAGGCCAATCTAATATATCAATAGACTGATCATAATTCTACATAGGTTATTTGGATTGAGAGTTTAGTAAAAAGATAGATGAAAAGACAGAAGTATACTAAAGTACTGAGATTATACTGTAAAATAAATGCTAAGGTCTAGGTAAACTCTACAAAAACATAATAGTTTAATGGTTAAGTCCTGATCACAAGTGTTGGATCTGTCATAGTGATATCTAGATTAACTGTAAAAATGAATACAGAAAGCTCTAAGAGGTTTACCTCAAGGATAAAATAGTTCTAAGGTTGAGACAATGATCTGAACATCAGGTATGATCCAGTGAAGTTAACAGATTTGCAGGTTTAGAGGGTTTAAAGTGAAATATCCAAGCAAGGGTATTAGGTATGACAATTGGTAGAGAACCTTCAGGTGAACTCCTTAAATAGGTAATATAGAAAAGTTACATGCATAACCAATTGTATGCTCTTCCTGTAGTGGTTCACTGAACCACATTTACCATTGTTAAATAAAGTTAAAAGACCCAAGAGGTCACCTTAAAAATAAAATAAAATAAATAAACCTTTGCATATATATAACTTATTTTAAATACTTAGATTCTTCATGCTCACGATAAAGATTTTTTATGAAAATTAACTCCAAAGGAACGTATTATTGGCTCTCACTTGATATTATAGTTTGTGATACGTATTACACAGCTCTCGTTATAGTGAACTCTTATTATAGTCTTCACAATAACGAGAGTAAGTCGTATTAACTTTTTTGCAAAAATGTTACCTAGTCGGATTACGAGAACCAATTTTATTTATGTGCATGGTCTAATGCAAAATTTATATAAATCTCCGGGGGCTTTAGTTTTGATTGGATGTTCGGATTGTCAGCCACGAATCCGAATTGTTAAAGGTTACCGTTACGACCAAAAAGGTTTAAAATATATACCTTGTTTTATAAACTGCCAAAGTAATTCGGTAATCCGCGAAGTAATTCGGAAGTTAGATGAGAGGTATGCTTGAACGTTTAAGTTTAGCCTATAGATACAATACTTCATTAAAGTTGGCAATTTTAAGTTGTCTTTATTATCTTTATTTGTGAAAACTTATTCTTCATAAAAATTAATAAAGAAATCTGACTATTATCTAGCTTAATAACGGATAATATGAAGTTGAGAGTTATATATAAGGTTCATAGAATCATGAAACGAAGTAGTACATTGTAATTATATAACGACTATTACTGTAAATAAAATTAAAGAAATTAAAGATCGGTTTGATATTGGAACAAGTACTGAGTTGTTTCGGATTATTTTTTTTATTAGTTATTAGCATTCTAGGATAGGTTTAAACATTTATTTCTTGTATTTGTCGTTTTTGTCTCGTTTTTTTCCTCCTTTTTTGACTCGTATATGTTGGATTTTTTTTCTTTAATAAAATTTGGTTTATTGGAATTTGTCTGCGACAAGA